ATTTCTTATGTTCTGAAGAATATAACAAACAACATTTATTAAAAGAAATCACCCTTCTCTCTCCTCAACTAAGAACTTTAGGAACTAGGGCAGGTGAGGAGGAAGGTCTCAGCAGTGGCAATTTGATGAGAAATGAATTAATTCGATTATTTTCACAGTGTGGATCAATAATAGTCAGTCTCCACAGAGGCCCCTGGCCTGAAGGCAGCTGGATAATCAATAGGATCACACAGAGGCGACTCTCCTCCCCCAGCAGCCTCTCTGATCTTTTCTGGGTCTACTCTTCACGCCTGTGTAATTCTAATTTATGTCAACTAGAAATCAAAGAAATTCCAAGAGGCTTTGGTCATAGGACATTGGGGTGGAACTTTCACAAACTATTTATGTCTATTCCTTAAGTCAAGAGGCCCCACGGCCCTCCAGGCGCCTCTACTGGCCAAGGAGAAGAGCTCCTGGCAGAAGGGCAGCTACCCATTTAGAGCAAAGGCACAGGAACTTCCTTGGGTAAATCAAGGCACACTTTTCTCCTTCTTATCTATAACTTGAAGGGACATAAGAACTAAGCATGTTAAGCAAAAGCTTTGCCAAGAATGACTCCCTCAATAACGCTCTTTAATGATACCCCAGACGCTGGCATTTTCAAATCAAATGAACAGTGTATAAAATTAGTTCTGCATGAAGTTAAAAAAAAGAAAGAAAGAAAGAAAGTGAAAGGGAGCTTTTAAAAGCTCCAGCATTTCTTCATCCAACTGCTTTTCACAAGGGTTTGGCATTTGAGAATTGCTACGTTTATGATGTTATTCACTGCTCATAATTCAGGCCCTGTGTCTCCAAACTTCAGTATTAACACACACTGCAGAGGTTCCCAAATCAGCCAGGCTGCCTCTGGCGAGGTCTGGTTTCTCAGCCAATGCCATGCCACTGTGCTCCCTCCCTTCCCACCAACCTTGTTACCCCAAACATTTTTCATTAACCTTGAACACTGCATTTCCATTTGCCCTACAGCTTTCCCATGAATTTTTTTTTTATCTTTTCAGTTTTGTTCTTCATCCAAGCTGCCTTGTAAGAAACGAGGAAAATACCATATTATTAGAAGAAACAGATCTGTAGCAAGTCTAGAATTCATTGAAGTCATAAAAACAATTTCTATGACCGAAGTCACTGTCTATAATTGTGGAAATCAGAGTACACACACATTGCTCTTATTAGAGAGTCCCACTGATTATACAAGATTTTTTTTTTTAACTAAATCACTAAATAAATGTGAGTTAAGTTGATAGGTGATTTCAGGTCAACTCTAATTCCCAAGGTCAAATAAGCCTTTGAACAGTCTTTAAGAATATAAGCTCACCCCAATTCATCAAAGCCGTCTCACACAGTGTTTTCTTCTCTTAGTTCTTACAATGCATTAAAGTTTAGGAGATTATCTGGCGTCAGCTTCAAAACCTCTAACATGCTTATCCATCCAGCAATCGGAAAAGCTACTCAAACAGGATCTTCTTAATGCACTTCCTAACTTTACAACTTCATGGGGAATGCTGCATTTGTTGAATTAATGGCTGGAGGATTCCTCCCTGGGAATCAGCAATGTTGCCATCAAATTTACTGCAATTTAGCTTAGACATTGTTTGATAATCCAAGTACATATTATTGTTTTTAGCAAAGAATAAGTTTGTGTTTCTGTTCTCTGCTTACCTAAGGGCAGGGAGGGAGAGAGGAAAAACAGTTTTTTTCTACAATACAGAAAAGACATTTTAGTATTCTTGCAATTCCTCAAAAGCTGGAGTGAGGAAGAAAGCACTGGTTTGGTAAAGTATAACCTTTGAATTATATGTAAGTGGTCCCAAAGGAAACTTATTGCTTGTGGAAAAAAAAAAGTGCAACTAGACTTCAATATTTCTCAGGATAACAGAACATGAGCACATGGACACAAAGACTTCACAAGCCCATCTCTCTCCAATGCAGGGATCTCATTGTCAATATTCTTGATCAGGGGGTTAATTGTGTAGATATTGAGGTATCTTGCTCCTTGGCAGGCTCTAGCAGGTATGTAGAAAGGGGAGGAGAATGCAAACTAATGATTTTATTAGTGGTTAGCAGATCTGGTTAAGGCACAGGATAGGCCCATATTAATTTTGTTCTTCAGTGGCACAAATGATCACAGATTGAGGCAGTGGATCTTCCCCATGCCCTAATACTTGCTTTCCTCTATTTTTTGCTACTATTCTTATTTTTGCCTTTATTTTTCTTGTTACTTTCTCTTTCCCTACCTACATAAACACATTTATATTCAACTCACTGATTTCTAGCACTGCAGATCTTTTTTCATTTCTGTTCCTTAATAGATAGTTATAAACTTGAACCCAAATTCACAGCATCCCAAGGAGGTATGAGGTTTTTTTTTTTGGTAAATTATGCAGAAAGTGCTATTAATCTACTTTCTTCCTTTATTTTCAATTTCCAGTCAAAATGGGATAGCAGGTAATATAATTTTTTCTCACTTGGAAATTCAAATATTATAGCACAGATTGATAGGATGACATTAATGATAAGAATAATCAGTAATATAAGGTATTTTATATATAATAAATGGTGTTCTAAATGATTTTTAAATATGTTAACTCATTTCAATGCTCACGATTACAAGATAGGTACTAGAATCATCCTCATTTTACAACTAAGGAAACAAGTTTTGCCTAAGATTACATGACTAATAATTGCAGAATCCAGATTTGAACCTGAACTATGGCTCCAGAGAACATACTCTCACTACTAATGTCTTTTCTTCTCTACTCAAATCTTTCTTTGAATCTCTCTGATAATTTAAACTCTGGAAATGGATGGCATAATGCAAAATTTGAAAGCAGAATAGCTGCTTTAGTCTCGGTTTCCATCCAACTAAACCAAGAAGTAGGCCTTTCTGTGCAAGGCTTTACTTGAATTTTGTGTGTGGTTTAGAAATGTCTTCTGTTCTCACAGAACCTTGTGTGTTTGGCTCTGAGCTGACTCGAGTCTCAGAAAGCCAGACAGCAAGCTGGGCCCAGTATCTCCTTGGTCTGGGCTGTGCTGCAGCAGGCTATGGCCAGACAGCATTGTGTTAGAGCCAATGGACTGGCAGAGTAACTCTCTGGTTGGGAAAGGATTCAGTGGCTGCCTAAAGAGTGTGCTATAATGCTTAGGGATACTAATAACTGGAGCAACCTCTCTACCTCATTTTGAACTAATTTTCATTTGGGACAAATAAAGGACTTGAATTCCTTAACTTGAAGTCAGCAAACTTTTGGTCAGAAAATATGTCTGGTATGATCTTCTCCTGTTCTAACCAAAACACATAACTTCTATAATTCACCTCAGCAACTTAGTGAGGCCCAAAGCAAATCAGTGAGACCTTGTTTCAAATAAAAAATAAAAAGGACTGGGGATGTGGCTCAGTGGTTAAGTGCCCCTGGGTTCAATCCCTAGTTTTTTAAAAAAAAAAGAATGGGCTAGAAACATGGTAATTGGTGATTTCTGAGAATGGCTCTGAATGCCTAAATACATTTGAATGCTTATATTTTAGTGTCCTTGGTTTGACAGCACTCATGTAGCTTTCCTTCTGGTTAGAAGGTAGAGGAGTTTTGCTGTCACTGTTTTCTGTTTTTACAGCACTCTGCCTATTGTAGATCCCCTTAGGTTATTTTGAAAAAAGTCATTTTAAAGTGACAGGGTTAGTAGCAGCGTTAGATTAGTTAGTAGTGAGATCTGAGGGAGACCTGCAACCCCTGGGTCTCACTTGGTTGCTAAGTTACAAAATAAGTTGCTTTCAGGCTGACTGATAAAATATATATATTTAAATCTGTTAAACATAACTGGCAAATGTCTAGGATAAGTTGGGATTTAAAAATATTTGGAGAAAAATTGAAGTCAATTATAATTGTGCAAAAATGACAAAGTATACAAGGGATAAGGTCTATTTGGTCCATTTTTTTTTGCCCCAAATTTGCTACATTTAGAAAATATATGCTTTTTGAGAGGCATGTGTATTTACTTTCACATTCTTTTGCTGAATTTGTCCCTAATTATCATTGCACAAACAGCACACATATATATATTGGTGTAAGATGCCAGATACTTTCTTAGCAAATATCTGAAGTGAACCTTTTCCAAGTAAGTAGCTGGAGATCCCCCCTCGTCTGCTGAAAGCAATGGACACAAACCTCGAAGAACTTGGTTGAACAGCTTTTGGCCAGAGCCTAATGTTTCTGTGCCTACATTTTCTCATCTTGACAATGCAAATAATTATTTCTTAGATTTGTAACAGGGAAAACATGTAAGTTGTAAGGGGAAAACATCTGTTTAGTGCCTGGTGTTCAATACAAATTTTTATTATCTTTTTTCTCAAAGTGTCATGTGTTAAATGTGGCACCATTTTTCAAACTCACAATCACAACCCTGGCCAGCACCATAGGCCTTCAGCAGAGCCTCTGGGCCCATTTCTAATCATCTGATGGGAGTGGCATCCGATGTGTGGGGAGACATAAACTCCTACACACCCCCTCACTGATCCTTTTCTTGCCTCCAGACAGCCAGAATACAGAGATGTTGAGCAATGAAGTTATATACTTATAAAAAAACCCAATGTGGCACTGTTCTTTCTACCTTACTGTTGCAGGAAAATTTGAACCCAGAATAGAATTTTACTATTAGACCCTGCAAATTGTAGTATTCTTTGCAATCTTTTTAATTTTGGCCATTGGGCTTGTGAATAGAATGTCAAAATCTAAGGTAACTGTGTTTTGTTTGTGATTGTTTTTTTCATTATGCTTAAGCACAAAATTAATTATCAATCATATGTACATATATATATATATATATATATATATATATATATATATATATATATATATATTCTTACTATTAAACACACAGGTAAAGATACAGAGAAAAGAAAGAGAATACGATATTGAGCTATTCACTACACTGATATGTAGAAAACAAACAATTTGATAGATGATTCTTACTTTATCACATCTCATCAGCCCCAAATATCTCAGAGATTTGCTGCTCTGTGCAATCAGGGTGGCTCCTTGATCTGTAATTTCTTTGCACCATCCAACGTCCACAGTCTCTATTGTCATGCTATATCGCCCAATAGCTATTAGTGCTGCAAAGAGAGACAAAGACAAAGCATTATTATTAGGAGTATAAGGTATCTCTATCTTTTTATGACTATTTCTCTCATTTCCTCACTAAATTTGTTCCTGAAATGTTGTGTGTAAATGAATGTTTTATAAACTAAATTAAATTTGAAATGCTTTAGGAAAGATTGCCCTATGACAAACCCTTTTGCAAAGTGAATAATCATTCCATAATTTCCCTTTCATTGGACAAAACCTTTTATCAGTTTTACTCATTACAAGGTTACCTCTACTTTCAAATATTCATATTTGCAGAAGGAATAAATTAAAGTGAATTACAGATATAGCATTACAAAACCCTCAAGTACTAACTACATTTTGTCCCAGGTAACCTTAACAATTTTTTAAAAGAAAAACTCATGCAAACACCATTTTGAGGTGTGTCATACTGCACGTGAATTTCTTTACTTATCAGCATAATTTTTTCCATCTGTTCATGACCTGCAAAATGTACAAGTATATAATATTTTTCACATTAGTCCTTTTTGAGACTGTTAGAAATTAAGAGTACATCATATATATAGTTGAATGTAATTGGTGCCATGCTAGAGTGCAATAAAGTGAATGCATTTGTTATGGCAAATTTCCTCACAATATCAGAAATCTTCCTTCTATTAACATTTAAAATGAAGCCTGCCATCTGAAAACTATGACAGTATCTCCGGTGTTCTTGACTGTTCAGCATTGCGCCACTGCTAAAGTGCAGACACTTATCCCATAATCTCCAATATGAACTACTTATCCCTGCAAAGCTCCATAACCCAGAGCCACCAATCAGGAAATGAAGCTCATTTTTAGAGACTTCTGATTTGATCGTTGTGCTCATCTGTACATTTGTGAAACATAAAACAGATTCCAATACCTCCAGGCAGAATAAGTTCACAATGCACTGGTCTGAGAATGCAAATCATGAAAACAAAGCCACAACTATTAAAAAGGAAAGAGAAATGGTTGCTAATTATTTCCTTAGATAGCATGAGTTGATTTCTGCAACATTAAAGGTGGATAATATTTTATGAAGAGTGTTGGCCAGATTGATAAAAGCAGAATTCATTACTCATGTAAATAAAAATAACTCACAGAAAAGATCACTTGGCAAAATCTCTTTGCTAACCTAATATTTATTTATTTATTTATTTGGGTATTGGAGATTAAACACAGGGGACCTTGACCACTGAGACACATCCTCAGCCCTATTTTCTATTTTATTTAGCGACAGGGTCTCACTGAGTTGCTTAATGCCTCACTAAATTGCTGAGGCTGGCTTTGAACTCACAATCTCCGAGCCTTAGCCAGTGGGGATTATAGGCCTGTGCCACAACACCTGGCCAGTAACTTTTATGCTTACTAGAAAACTAATGTCCATTGCATTCCAGCATGAAAGTACCCTAAGTAGCCAGATATTTAATGTTTACAAAAACAACAATCATGATCTCAGTGTCTTATAGTAAAAATACCAAAGAGAAATCATTCTAAGTTCCTCATGCCATCAGTTGGTTACTGTTTTCATCTTTGTACATGCTGTTTTGGTATTTAAAGCTTTCCAGATAGGGAGCAGGGTACTGAAATTTTCCAACCACTAAATGTTTGGAAAAATGGTTTGAATACTATTTTTGTGTAGTAGGAGCAATTTCCTAGGTTAATTTCACTGGTGTCTCTGACTTAAGAAAATTGCCACTCTCTCTGGTATTGTTGTAACTTTCACTGGTTTGATATCCTGAGGATCTGCTATGATGAATGAAGTAGGAGATACATAAAAGAAATCTCTTTCAGTACAAAATGCTAAAACTGTGATTTTTTTTTAAAAAAATCTTTTTTTTTAGTTGTAGTTGGACACAATACCTTTATTTTATTTAATTTATTTTTATGTGATGCTGAGGATCAAATTCATGGCCTTACCCACGTGCTAGGCAAGTGCTCTACTGCTGAGACACAACTCCAACCCCTAAAACTGTGATTTTTAAAAGATGACAAAGCACACGTTACAGGACAGCCCAGTGTTGGTAGATTGTCTACAGTTGTTTTTATTGAGGTTTAAGACTAGTACACGAAAGCTTGAACTATCCAGGAAAAAAAAAATCAAATACTATGAGAAACTTTCAGAGGCTGCTTTATAAGCAAATGAAGAGTCACTAGTATATACGCCAGGGAAAAAGATCACTGGTGTTTGTTGTTTTCCTTTGTGTTTTCTTTCTTGTCCAAATTAAAGTATATAACAAATGAGATGAATCAAGATATTCAGGTTTTGTTTTGACCTAGTTCTATTTACTGAATTTAAAATTAAACTTTATTGTCCCTTAACTCATTTATTCAATAAACACCTCATGAGTTCTTAAGCATTTCTGCCAACAATTTATTGACCACGTTCCCTATGCCAAGCCCTGAGCTAAAAATTTTAGGTGCATTGTCTGCTTTAAATCTCACAGTAACTCTATGAAGTCTTACTGCTATCTCTACTTTAAAGATCAGGAAACTGAGTCACAGAGAGATCGAATAACTTTCCTAAAGTCTTAAGACAGTAAGTGGGGAAGTGAATTTTAAGTTGGGAGCCAGCACTCACACCTGGTTGCATATCAGATGTACTAAATCAGAATTACAGGGCCAAGCAAGCACCTGGTAGTTCTAATAGGTTGTACTTCCAGCAGTGGAAATATGTTGTGATGACACGCTGAGCCTGTGCTGGTTACTGTGGATACTGAGATTCATTGAACTCAGAGGCTGGTTGAGTAGGGTGTTTGGTTAGTGGAGGTGGGTAGAAAAGGGGAACAGTCAAGTAAATAGGATACAATGTTATACTATTCTTCCTATTCCTAATTCCTTCTCACCTTTCATTTATCAAATCAAAGGTCAGCTTCTCAAACCTACTCACCCTATCATTTACTAAAACTGGAAATGTTACTGTTTTTACGTTTCTATGGCCCTCTTCCCATATTAGCATGATAGCTCCTATTCCCTGCTGAATGCCTAGCATTGAGTACATGCCTGGAATAGAGTAGATTCTTAAAAATATTAATTGAATATGCCACTGACTGTAGCCTCTCATTCTTTAGGGGAGGAGGGATATCATAAAGAAGCTCTCACAGAAGAGTTAAGCTAGGTCTTGAAGGACAAAAAGAATTCTCCGGGGTGGGGGTGTTGGGGAAGGAAACAAGGATAAGTATTCTGGGCAAAGGGAATAGCATGTGCAAAGAAAGGGTAGAGAGATGAGAAAGGACAAGGGAGTTGCAGGTCATTCTATATGGCCCAAGTAAAAACAAGTTCAAGGAAGTGGCGAGATTCTCTACAGAAATATTTATTCAGTGATTAATGATACTGGAGTAGCCTCAAGGGATACAGAGTAGCAAAAAAATGCAGAGTCCTTAATGTCATGAAGCTTATATTCTAGTAGAAAAGAGAGTGTGAAACAAATAAACATCAAAGTAAATATAACCCTAAATTGTGACAAGTGCTCTAAAGGAAATAGGCTACTACAGAAGAATAACATTCAGATGGAGAGACGGGTGGCAATCAAAGAGCATATCCCTGAGGAAGCTATTCTTAATTATCTCTGACAGTCCTGCAGAACAGTACCCATTTTAAAGATGAGAAAAGTAATGCCCAGCTCTAATAAAGTGGTAGAAATACAATACAAACAGATTATTTGGCTCCAAAGCCAGCGCTTACTCTATCACTTAGCTTTGCCCAGAATGACAGTGGAGTCTGCATATGCTTAGAATGTATTTCTTTTTATTTCTGTTCAGACTTAAATATAGGTTTTAGGCAACAAGTATTTACTCTATGACTATATGAGAGGCCCAACAGAATCTTTTATTTAAAATATATACTAAGTAATTTACCACTCCCTGAATGTATGGTTCCTTTGGAAATGTTCTCATTGTTCATGAGCTAGCTGTGAAACCTGTAGTGTGGTGCAATCTCAAGTTCAAGTTTAGCCACATTACTTAGGAGATGTCTAACCTCAGGGTGGGGTCATGTAACTTTTAACTTTTCTGAGTCTCAGCTTCCTTACCTAGTTATGGTAATGTTGACATTATGTCATGCCTATTTAACAGGGTTACTCTGAAGTTCAAGTGAGAAAATACATGAGGGCTGGGGATGTGGCTTAAGCGGTAGCATGCTGGCCTGGCCTGCGCGGGGCGCTGGGTCCAATCCTCAGCATCACAAAATAAAGATGCTGTGTCCACCGAAAACTAAAAAATAAATATTAAAAATCTCTCTCTTTTTTTTTAAAAAAAAAAAGAAAAGAAAATACATGAAAGGGCTTTTTACCATATAAATGTTATGATTTATTTGCTGTTTTCCCAAACCATACTAGTGGTGCAGTTGATATAAAATGAAAAGATTTGAAAGAGTTTTAAAAATTAAAAACATTCTGGGCAAATGACAGTATTATAAAGTAGTCAGTCATTATGGTCACTGTTTGAACTTCCTACTCTCTATCAATGATTCTGAACTTGCAGACTCTACCTAGGCTGATAGGGTGTTAAATGTAATGTAGGATTACTACCTTCATGAGGGGCTGTTGACACATTACAATGATATTTATTGATCTTGAAAAGGGACATATTATGCAAGGTTAATCCCTAATTCCAATGCAATGTTAACATATTTTTATGTGCTAAGCACAAATAAAGTTTTAAAAATTACAAATTAACAACTGTAGTTCAGTAACTTATATGCTGATCAAGATGTACATTAACCCATTGACAGTCATTTCCATAGGCATACAGGTGACAGAGTTACTGAAAGATTCAAGCACACATGCACTCAAATTGACCAAGAAATTCTGCTTCTTGGAACATACCTTTAAAACATAGCTCTAATAATACAAAATTACATAAATATGAGTATATCTGTACGAGTATAGATTTTAATTGCAAAATAATAGAAATAGCTTAAATGCCTTTACAAAGTAGTTGAATGAACTGTGCCATAGCCATCAATTTAATACTCTGAGTCCATAAAA